CCTGTCCAGGTCTCGCTGGATGGCAGCAAAGAAACAAGAATAGTTTCAGAAACAAGAATTCCCACCTTGTGCAAGTAGTAAGAAAATAAAGTGAAAACTATCTCCATATTGTCTTGGTGCCATTTTGGACTTTGCACATGTTGGAGAAAAGAGATTGGAGGGGCTGTTTTTGACAACCATGACAAAGCTAAGCTTTCAAAACTACAGCAAATGAGTATTCCCTGTAGGCAGAAAAGGTGTGCAAAGGAAATATCACTGTGTGCTTCTCCTATTTTTATCCTTTGGTATATGCAGCTAGACAGTTGGAACAAACACTGTATTAACATGAACAGGAGGAAATGTCCAATAATTATGATTGAATTGTGTTCCCATTTAGTCCTTTAGGTCTTAGAACTTTTTATTTTCTTTCTAGAAACAGAGTATTGGGGAAGATGGACCTCAACCATGACCAGCATGGCCTTGCTACAAATATACCTGTACCAAGTTCTGACTCTCTACCTCCTAGCAGTCTGAATGCTAGGAAGAAAAGCTGTACTGGGGAAGGAGGAAGTCTTCTGTACATTCATGCAAGTAAGCAAATTATTTATTCTTTTTTTTTCCCCCTCCAAAGGTAATAAGGTTTCTTTGTCCCAATGAAAGTGAAAGATTTTCAGCTTTCATACCTTGTTTCCTGCCCCTCCAACTCTGATGACACTGTCTGGGTTCAAGGCACTGATGCAGTCATTTACCAGGGTGCTGCTGTGAGAACGGGTGGTAACAATGATGTGTTTCCCAGCAGGTGCTTCTGTGAGCTGAAATCCGAAGGCACCTATGCCCAGGACTCCCCAGATTGTCCTGCCCAACACAGCATCAGCTCCTGCCTACAAAGAAAGGTACACAGGTCCAGATGATGGTCAATCACAGTGATCAGCATTTAAAGCACAAATGGAGAGCAGTACCTAGAGAAATCTTTGCTTATTAGGGAGTATAATATTAATACTGGGATAACCATTTAAACAATGGCACTTAAAAAGAACTACTCTAGAGCCCCGAGTGAGAAATTGGCTCTCTTT